ATATCTATATCATATTATTTATTGTTTTTGGAGCGTCCAAATAGACACATACAATAATAATAATAATAATTGCAATTATTGGTTATATGAGAATTTATGATTGATCAACAAAAGTAAGCATATAATTTGCGTAAAATGCATTACCTATCCATATCACAGTTATGTGGCATATATGACCAGAGGCATTAAAAAAAAACGATTGTAATGCCTATCTTTAAAAAAGGCGATAAAACGTTAGTTACCAACTATCGTCTCATCTAACTTCTCTAAAATCTATAAAAAAATATTTTAAAAAATGATATCGTGTGTTAACAGGTTTGGATTGCTAACATCAAGACAGTGTGGATTAAACAAAAAACTTTAACATAAGATGCTATTTTATTTTTAACAAATAAAAGGGAAAGCCTTGACTTATGCTCGACTTTTGTATATTTATTGACTTAGCTAAAGCCTTTGATACCGTTAAACACACCCTACTTTTAGAAACTCTCGAAGAGGTAGGCATACGAGGAAATTGTTTAGATCTTAGTGATAGAATCCTAATGGTAAAATTAGGACGGAAATAAGTGATGCAAAAAATATTTACATCTACCTGCCGAAACAAGTGTTAACTTATCGGCTCTTGGCCTTATTTATTTGCTTTATTTATTTACTATATAATTATAAATTGTACACTGAGTTTCCTTTCAATTAATATATTATAGCTGTATCTTGGAAGTATAGTAAAGGCGTAATTCGGCTATAAAATGTACAACGGACATAAGAAAACATGTGATATCAAAACCTACTTGTTTCTCTCTCTCTCTGCTATAAAATAGTCGTTTAAAACGATATAAAGACATTTATTTTCTGTTTCGTTCCATAGGTGTGTTCTACAACTAGAAAACAAGAATTAGTTAGGTTTATTGCAGCTATAAAGCACACAAAGTGGTAAACACGATTCCTTGTTGAATGGGTCACTGAATTTTAAATTTATCCCTGCACCACGCCTGGCTTGAAAGCGATGAGCAAATTAACATGCAATTTTTAGGACACGACACATGATTTAACAATGTTTCGACGATTCATGCTTACTGGCCATAAAACAATCTCCTGGTTTACTTTTTCTAGAAAAGTAATGACGTAACCTAGATAGGATCCACATATAGACCACCGTACTTCTTTTTAATTTGGGTCACTGAAAGAAACCAAATCCAAAAGATTTTCAATTATAGTCTGGCGTTCTATCCAATTAAATCTAGAGCTCTTATTACTCTTGGTTTACATTAGGGTGTGTCATTTTTTAGCAATTTTTTTTAACTAAAAAACAGGCATACCTTTCAGGAAGGTGAAAAAGAAAACTCTAAAAATTTGAGCTCTTAATATTAACATTAAGTGGTGCCTATTCCTAACTTTCCATTTTCCATTTAAATAACATGGAAACAAAAATTTTGTAGCTTAACATTTTAGCATTGTAAAAATAAACTGTAAAATTATTTTGGTAGAAAATTGAACGCTCTACAAAATAGTTCTAATTTATTTTTTCATAGAGTGGGCCGTTCTGAAGATATTCAAACTTAAAGTTGCAAATGTATGAAATTATGACTTTTATTTTATTAAACTAATACTGATGACTTTTTTTTTTCTTAAAAATTATTTTCAAGAAAAAAATAAATTATTTTCGTATATATAGAAAGAAAATAATACATCTCAATTATTTTTTTTTTTTCATTTTATTTCATTTACTATCAAAAAAAGTTATTTGTGTTCAATAAATTTGTTCAATTATATAGATTAAATAAAACGATTAATTTGTTATTGTGTTGAATTTTTAATCTTTCTTTATTTTTTATAATTTTACCTGCACTATATTATTTTTCATTTTTACAATGTTCAAATAAAAAATTTCCATGTTTTTTAAATGGAAAATGGAAAGATTGGAACAGACATCACTAAATGTTAATATTAAGAGCTCAAATTTTTACAGGCTTCTTTTTTCACCTTCCTGATAGCTTTTAGCTTGTTTTTTAGTTGAAAAAAAAATTGCTCAAAAGTGACACACCCTAGTTTACATGTATCATTTGTTTGATAAATGGGTTGTATAAACGTGTTTTGAGAGTTAAACTCAATACAATCTCAAATATTCAAAGTGTTGATACACACTTCAATTTTTCTAATATAGCGATATGAATTGCTGTATTAACTAACGAATTTTTTTATTTGAATAACCTTTTGTTTTAGAATTTTTATTTAATTAAATATATTACAAAAATACGTACGTCTATGATTTACTACTGTCGAAGCGCACACTTTCATTACATTTCTAAGAAGGCTCCTCTTTCTTGTTCTTCAAATAAACTTTTATAATGCAAAATAAAAAATGTCAATTAGGAAATAATTGGGCTAGATAAAACTTAATTTGACATTTATATTCAAATACATGGATAGTGTTTATTGAAAAATAGAAGAGTGTCCCTTTCATATAATATCAAAATATACAAGGTGTTCCGTTCAACAAAATTGGGTTACTATGATTTGAATAAGGGCACTTTTTTAATAACATTCTGTTATCAATGATACATTTTGGCATCGCTAGGATAAAACTTGTGGTAAAATAAAAGATATCAATTTTATCGTTTATTGTAAAATAACAAACATTTGTACACGATGATAAATTTCATATACCAATTTTCAATAAGCAAACGCAATAGATACTCGAACCAGAAGAAGAAGACGATCATTTACTATGCAGGAGCATCTAGAAAGCAATGTAAAGCTGAACACGAGTAAGTCTGCACGCTTAGGGGTAGCTAAGGATTAAATAAAAACCTGCATGACTTTATTTAGCCTTCCGTACATTACATGCGAATGCGTATTTATATTAAATTTCATCTAACCTTCTTTTTCGTTTTTCCTATCTATTAATTGAAAATTTCTAATTTACGCCGGTGTTTATATTTCATTTTCTAGCATGTTCTATTAATAATGCTCTTTGCTTTAAATTATAAGATAGAAAATGGTAGCTGTGCTAATCGATTTTCCAGAGTGTAACAAAAAGAAAGGTCATAAATTAAATCAGATATTCTAGAGTCAATAGTGCTTACAAAAAAGTTACGGCTTTTTGAAGTTACAAATTGAATTTTTCCAACAATTCGGAAACTGTTAAACAGTTTATCATGAAAACAGACATGTCATCTTCTTAAAGTAAGAAAATTTTACGAGAGCAATGCACCCCTAACATTTTTATGGGGGTTGTGATCCCTAGACCACATCATATCCATCATACATAGATTATTATTGTACCACCATTAATTTTACACTTTTTTGACAGTTACTATTTTTTCGAAAAATCAATATTTTTTTAATACGTAGTCACATAAAAATGGACACCTACATCAGGTAATGAATTTTCTCCAAAGATAAATAGTTGATTTGTATTTTTAAAAATACAATAGGCATTCCAACGACCTGTCAAACAATAGGTGCCAGTGGAAAGTTCTCGTATATCTAAGGGGGTAGCGACATAGTCTTACATCGTGGACGCTATTGTTATTCGAAATAGTAGTCGCCAAGCCTGCCAATTTATGAAAACGTATAAGCAGGTTTTTTAAATATTATTTTTATTGTGTTTGACATAAAATATTTAAATGTAATCAATCCATTATTCATGTTTTTACGTATAGTAGATAGAATTCATCGTATGTCGCAACCCTTAGATATACCAAACCTTCCCACTGGCAATTCATTTGTTTGGAATGCCTAATTGGCAACATCTCCTAATAAAAAAGTGTCACAAATTGCTTGAAACAGATAGATTTTTATTCCAAGGTGGACATCTTTCAATCATATTCTCAAATGTCATAGCCCTTTGCTACGTCAAAATAACAAATACAATTTAAATAGGGAAAGTACAAAATATGACACATCATTGAAAAGGTATTTAATGGAGAATGCAGCAATATAACTGTTAATTCCGTTACTTTTGATTTTAGCGATGTGAGCTAAAAACTGTTACGTATTGTAAAGTGTGACATTTCATAAGTAATTTAATGCGTAACATAAATTGATTTAACCTAACATCAGTGGCAACATTCCTATCCTTATTTAAGTTATGTTTCATTAAATTATGTTTCGTTATGTTGCGCATCAAATTACTAATAAAATTACCTTTCGAATGAGGTGTCATTTTATAATACGTTAACAGTTTTTCTATCCCGCTAGAGGGCGCTAAAATCAAAAGCACCGCCATGAAGATATATTGTTGAAGTCCCCATAAAATTACCTTTTCATTGATGTGTCATACTTTGTACTTTTCATATTTAAATTGTATTGGTTAGTGTGATGGAGTGGAGGGGAAGAACATTACGTATGGCATTTGAGAATATGATAGAAAGGGAATAAAAATCTACCCGATTTATGAAATTTTTGTTATTGCCAATGGGAAGGTATTAGACACACTGTATTTAGAATATTTAAGAGATTACTTTTTTAAAAACCCTGTTTATTAGTACGCTAGGTAATTGTTTAGTGGAATTAGAAAAATTCCAGTTCATCTAAATACTTAATTTAAAATTATACGATACATTGTATACTGGTCTACAGGTTGGATAATTTGGTTTTGGTTCCGTTTTGACTCCCATAGCCATAAATATGTTAAAACCTATTTCTGAAGAATACAAAAGTTTGGGGAGTCTATCTAGGCAATCACAACCTCTATTTTCGTAATTTTTTGTTAAAAAGCTGTTCTTACTGTAAGAAGACCACATTTTCAATTTGTAACTTTAAAAGACTATAACTTTTTGTAAGCACTTTTTTTATAGGTAAGTTAGACCTAACCTATTTATTTTTGACTTCAGATTATCTGGTATAATTTATGCCTACCTTTTTTTGGTACTCTATACATTAAATTCGTTACTAATAATTATTTTTCTACTTTTAGGTGCAGTAGATCATCGATGTAACTCACCCAGAGGCAAAGGAATTGGAGGCACTTCTTTAATCAACGAACTTGTTTACTGTAGAGGCAACCAAGAAGATTTCAACCGTTGGGCAAAAATGTTGAAAGATCCCAGTTGGAGATACGAAAACGTGCTTCGGTATTTTAAAAAATCCGAAGATTTCCACAAAACCAATCCAGATGCCGTAGTAGATTGGTATTACCATGGTAAAGGCGGTTATTTGCGTACTACTTACGACTTACCTTCATCAAATAATTATACTAAGATCTTTATCGAAGCCAACCAAGAACTAGGAATCAATCTTACCGATTATAATGGTAAAAAAGAAGAAGGCGCAACCATCTTACAAAAACACACCAAACAAGGTAGAAGACTAGACCAAGCATCCGCTTTCATAAAACCCGTTACGAAGAGAACAAATCTATACGTTCTTGATAGCAGTTACGTCATAAAAATCGAAATTAATAACAAAACCAATCGAACGACAGGCGTTTTATTCACTAAAAATAACAGTACCTACAGAGCTAACATCACAAAAGAAGTAATTGTTTCGGCAGGTGCGATACAGTCACCTCAACTACTGATGCTGTCAGGAATAGGTCCTAAAGAACATCTGCAACGGATGAACATCTCCCTAATTAAAGATCTGGATGTAGGCAGTACACTTCGGGAACACGTATTTTGCGGTGTACAATTCTCCTCGAAGTTAGATGTTCCGCAAAAAGGTTTCACGCAACAAATCAAGGATTACCTGCAAGGTTACGGACCTCTATCAGCTGCTAATCGCATCGATGGAGCTGGTTTCTACGTTACAAAAATCGGAGAAGATTATAACTATACCGATATAGAAATAGTTATGTCTTCATCTACAGCATCTGAATTAGGAAAAAGGTTTCTAGCTTACAGTGATGAAACTTGGAATGCCATGTTCAATTTCACCATCAACAATCCGTTTACTTTAACCACGGTTTTATTACGCAGTCGCTCTGTCGGCACTATAAGATTAAACACCAGTAATCCTTATGATTATCCTTTGATAGACTTTAACCTTTTAAGCGACGCATACAACAAAGATATCGAAACGATGTACGAAGGGATACAATTCGCTATAAATTTAACGAAAACCGGTGCTTTTAAACGCTTTTCTCCGGTTTTGGCAGTCAGACCGCTACCGGCTTGCTTGACTCATACATTTTTGTCCAAACAGTTTTGGTATTGTTACATCAGGCACATATCATCGGCCGCTTATCATCCTGTAGGAACGTGTCCTACAGGAATTAATCCCAAAAAAGGAGCAGTGGTAAATGGAAATTTGCAAGTTTTTGGAGTTGAAAGACTTAGAATTGCGGATGCTAGTGTTTTTCCGTTTGCTTTTGCGGGGCAACCAAATGCGGCTTGCACCATGATTGGGGAAAAGATTTCGGATGTTATTAAACATCAGCACAAATAGTAATAGGTTGATTTCAATTGTTGAAATATTTTAAACCAAAGATAAATATTCAAGAATATTGGCATTAAACTAATTATATTAGTTTTTGTTCAATTGTATTTTTAACTAGGTACCCTCATCGTGAACATATTTGTTTTTTGTTGTTGATAAGTTAATAAAAAGATTGTTAAACAAATAAGTTTTTGTCAATTCCACACTGAAGGTTGCTAACATGTTCTTTTTAGTCCAAAACCTTTTCTTTGTGCAAATAATTTTAGAAACTAAGTCAAAAATTTAAAATTTTTTGGCATAATAAAAAACAACTATGGAGATTATATGTGGCCAAAATTAAGTTAAGCCTTCATTATCCATCTGGCCCTTTGAACAATGATGCCAAAAATAGATTTTTCATTTTCAATTTAAGAATATTTTTTAATTGCTTATTTTGCTTCAAAATTATTATTTTTCTCTTAAATTTACTCTTAAATTATTGATATTATATTTTTCCAAGAATACAAAAGTTTCTGAACTACTTAATTGGGCAATTAAAGATATGCAATTTTAGAAATATGAAAATATATAATCCCCAATTCCCCCTACGAAATTATGAAAAATAAACCTCCAAAGTGAAAACAAACCAAAGAAAAATTAAAAAAGCTGAGAAATAAAGACTGGGGTGTATTTTTAGGGAGAATTGGGGATTATATCATTGTTGGAGTTCACTTAGGGCGGATGTCCAATTTTTAACAAATTTGGACTTATTTCAATCTATATTTTTAAGCTTTATGAGTTGTACTTACAACTGAAGTTCATAGAATTATAAAAAGAATACTGCACAATTCACTATAGTCTGTTCTCACTTTTAACTTAAGGAGGTCCTTTCGCCACCAATGTTAAATAAAAAATATTAGATTATGACTAAAATTAATTTTTTTGTAATAGTAGATGTCCTTATTTATCTAATAGTGAACTTTAAACTATACCTTACCGTGCAAATTTTTGAGAATTTTTTTTTAAATGTTTGTGTTTGTACAGTGTCTTATGAGAAAGTAAGACTTCAACAACAATTTTCGAATTATAATTAATTTTACTATTATTTATTGATTAGATGGATTAGAAAAAAAACTAAAAATAAGGTTTTTGAAATATTTAGGTTTTGTTTTTTGCAATAAAATATATAGGTTACCGTGGAATTTATTAAGAAATTATTATTAAAAAATCACAAAAAATTTTCAACTAGGTTACTTGAAAATTTTTTGTGATTTTTTAATATTAATTTCTCAATAAGTTCCACGGTTTACTATATATATTTTATTGTATAAAACAAAATCTAAATATTTCAAAAACCTTATTTTTAGTTTTTTTCTACTCCATCTAATCAATAAATAATAGTATAATTCGAGAATTGTTGTTGAGGACTTACTTTCTCGTGAGGCACTATACAAATACTCACATTTAAAAAAAAAATTCTCAAAAATTTGCAAGGTAAGTTCAGTATTAGATAAATAAGGACTTCAAATATTAGAAAAAAATTAATTTTAGTCATAATCTAATAACTTTTTTTTAACATTTGAGGCGAGAGGTGTGGCGAAAGGACCTCCTTAAGTGCACTCAGGGAGGATCTGGATTTTATCTTTCCTTTTCTGAAAATTTTGTATTTTGGACATTCGCCCTAAGTGAACTCATGTATATTTCCAAAAAAGCATTTCATTTTTCGGATCTAAACCAATTTTTTCACCTTACGGCGGCCTGCACTCGAAAACTTAACACTGGTAAACGAATGAAGGATCTTAGAATGTATTCTAGTACATTCTGGGATTGGCGTCCTTCTATACGATGTTACAAGCATGGCTTTAAGGAGAATTGATAGAGAGGGAGGGGGGTGGAATGTGTGTGTACCCGCGAGAGTAACAAATCTACAAATTCGACTGTGGTAGCCATGTGATTCGGTGGTCCAATTGGTAGAAACGTCGACGGCTCTAATCGGAAGATTCCAGGTTCGATCTTTGTCTTTTCTTTTCCTCAACTTTTTCAATTTTACTTTGTTTTCAGTTTGGAGATTTTTATAATTTCGTAGGGGGAATTGGGGATTATATATTTTTATATTTCCAAAATTGTATTTCAGTTTTCGGATCTATACCGATTTTCTCAGCCTTTGTAATACAGGGTATGGCAAATTTATAGTTTAGAGGTAATTAGCATATACAGGGTGTCTGTAAAGGGACCTTTACAAAAACATACCACATATTTCTTGAACAAAAATTAGCCGATTAAATTAAACTTACCTCAATACAAAGTTGCTCAGTTTGGACACTAGACGGCCCTGATCCCTGAAGTTCACAATTTTTAAATCGCTTATCCATTATAAATTAAAAACTGCTTAGGGGGCGTCCATTAATTACGTGAGGTATTTTTGAGGATTTTTTGACCCCCTCTCCCCCCCTGGTGAGATTTCGTAAGATTTTCCTCAACTCCCTCCCCCCTCCCCTAATCTCTCGTGAGATTTTTAAAAATTTGTGTTTTAGGTGTAAATGCGTCGGATTATTAAAAAAACAAACACAATATGTTTTATTACTTTTATTTAAGACTAAAAATTTCTAGAAACATTCTTTACTTTAATTTAATTTTCACGCAATTTTACACCGTTTTCTACTAGAAAAAAAAAATATGTCAGATTTACAAAGTGAGATTTGGAAAGATTTAGCTTGATCCCCTCCCCCCCTTGAACACCTCACGTAATTAATGGACGCCCCCTTATGCCATTCTGCTTAAATTTGGTACGTTGACAGAGTTTTTGTTAAGTGACAAAAAAACGTATTAAAATGATGACTAATATTAATCCATAGACGTAGAGCTTGATTTTTTTCAATCATTGCACATTTCTACGCCAATGGAAGAAAATGGGTTTGTTTGAGTATGGATTTGGATTGCTTAACTCCTTTACTACAAAAACGGTACTCTTGATAAGAACCGATTACTCTCATGGTTTTGGCGAAATTCATGTTTTAGTAAATATTTTTTTTTTTATGAAACCTTGCACTCCAAAATTATTACAATACAAATTTCGCCAAAACCTCGAGAATAATCGAGTCTTAAGAGTACCATTTTTGTAGTAAATGAGTTACACAGTCCAAACTTCATGCTTAAACCATTTTTATTCAATTGGAGTAGAAATTTTAAATGTGCAATTAGTGAAAAAAATGTGTTTTTAACAAAAATACACACGAAGTCAAAGAAAAAATACAAACAAAGCATAAAAAGAGAATTTTATCAGGTACCTATATCTGCAAACAAACAAAGAAACTAAAAAGTGAAAAATAAATGTAACAACCAGTTTGCCTAATGACCATTTGTAACTACTGATAGGTCTTTAGCTACTGTTGTTAATATACTAGGGCAGCGCCTGTCACCAGCCCTAGGGTCTTGGAGTCCTTAAGGAACATCCATTCGCCAGTGGCAAAATAAAATAATAAAAGAAAATAATTAAAATACAAAAAAAAACATCCCTTAATAGCATATGTCGAGCGGTTTTGGCAACTGATTTAAGACTCTCAAGTCCTTAAGGGTAGGAACGCCGAGGCTTAACATGCTCGGAATATTTCTTACTGGTTTTTTTTTTGAAAAAGACGCTAAAATGGTGGTTCACACCTTATCGAGACTGAGGCCCACAAGGGTAAACTCGTAGCGCAACAAAAACGAGAAATGATTTAACTTGGAACGAAATACCGAAAGCCGATAGTAATATTAGCACGTTGAATTTTTTGGTTTATGAAGCATTGGCATTACTTAGGTTAAACCATGCGATGATTTTCACAAGCCTTGATTTTTAAAACCATTCTATATCGCCTTTTGGTTAGGGTTTAAAAACATGTTCGGGCAATTTATCCAATAATAATTGGCCCCTTTACCTCTTAAGCCTGCTCATGTAAAATATTTGGACTTCTTACTTCGCCTATTTATATTCTATTAATAAAAGACAGAAGGATGAGTATTGCAACTATGTTAAAAGAAATAAATTAGCTTTCAGTTCAGAATTATGTTCAGTACATGATTGATATTTATTTATAAAATAAAAATGACATAGTACCATCGCATCAATCTATTAGAAAAAATTCAATATAATTCGCAATATCACAACTATAATACACGAAACCAATCTGACTTTCATGTACGGCAAGTCATCACTAAAAGTTCCCAAAATACAATTTTTATTAAAGGTTTAAAAAATTTAATAGGCTGCCTACAGAAATTAAAAAAACAAAACAATAAATGTATTCAAAAGTAACCTCAAACAATACTTGATAAATAAACAGAAATTGTTATTTTACCCCTCGTTTTATCCGCATTTATTATAGATTATTTGTTTTGAAATCATGTACTTTATTTTAAAAAATTGTTTAAAAAAATTACTTGATGTTATATTAATATCACTTACTATGTTTAAATTATTAATAGTTTTGTGAAGATAGGTTATAGCAACTTATAGCCACAAAACTATTTTTGTGTTAAAGTAGATCCATAGAGAGCAATGTAATTTACAAAGGCCTTCTTTCAACATACAAATAAATGACAACTTTATAATTAAAATGAAAAACACAACAAAATACCTTGGTATCATAAATGATCCAAATTTGAAATGGGCATTATATCCTACCTCTCTTTTATATAATAAAAAAGTGCTTTGTATAAGAACATTATATTTTCTGTCTTGCTGTACTTATTTATGGAAAGCCTGAATTGAGATATTTATTATTTGCAATAAATATCAAAAGAAGTATACATTTTTAAATAATTTGACATTTAAGAGCCATTCACATATCACAGTTGACATCTTGATACTTGACAGGCACAGCCAAGCATTATTTTGATTTTTGCCAAATAAAATGGCCGGTTAATTATTCTATGGGGTTGCGACAGAGAGCCAATAAATTTGATGAAGGTGTTTTTGTGGCTAGGGGCGAAATAGTAGTACGCTTAATAGCACCACCATAAAAAGTCATTTTTAAGAAACTGCTTATATA